ACACACACACACACACACACACACACACACACACACACAACTACACAAACACACAAAGGAGCTCCTGACAGTTATTACTCACAGCATAAAATGACAAATATTACCAATACGTAAACTCTATTCAGAACCTATAAATCCTGTGCTGCATGACCCTGCCGCTTCTGGCGGGGGTGGTGGTGCCGAGGGCGCAGTGCCGGGCTCAGCCGCAGGCGGCTGCTCTGCAGCTGGTGAGGCTCGGGGAGGCCCCGGGCCGCCGCCGCCAGCTCCGAATGTTGAGCATAGAGATTCACACCTCAGTTTTCCTGGTAGAGTGCTGTGCCGGCGTGAATGCCGCTTTTCTCTTAAAAGTGTTAGCCAATTTTTACGGGGCCAGTCAATATCCCTGAGCCATCGCCTCCAGTACAGCTGTTGTAGTCTGAGTTTTTGCAGCCCGTCCTTATTAATGCTTCTCTCTAAATCTTTAATAACAGAAAAATGCCGTTTTCCTCAACGTGGCTGATGACTCGGCTCATAGCTTACAGGAGAAAGAATTTTTCTTGCCGTGTCCATATTCCCTTGCACCAAGGTTTTTTCGCCTCACTTTTACGGTTTTTTTTCCTCCTCACTTTTATCTATGGATCATCCCCAATTAAGGGAGGACACAGACCAGACAGTTCAGATTCTTTTGCAGGATTTACAGCATCAGGGTCTAAAAGATTATCACAGCATTCTGCCTCTTCAAACAATAAATTTGGCTCTTTAAAGTGTCCCTTAGCCTTGCCCAGACCAATCAGCACGGCTAAGTTTTTTATCGGACTTACTCCCCGCTTTTCTAAAAAGCAAAAATCGTGAGGACTACCTCTCATTCAAATATTCCTGCCCGGGCAAATTCCACAAATTCCTGGTGCGGCTGAACGACCTTCCTTAAAGTCTGATCAAGTAGCCAACAACCAGTGAAGGCTGTTCCTGGGTATTATCCCTTTCAGCCTGTAATTGCTTTTGGCCTTTCCAGGGTCGAACCCCCAACACGGCCTGGCCTTTCCAGGGTCGGACCCCCAATTCGGCCTATTCCGGGGTAGCCCTCTTCGGATCGCCAAAATCCCCTGAAGCCGGACCAGCTGCACTATGTCAGACTTACAAATCCCGACACTTTAGGAGACGGCACACATCTCTTGCCATACTGTCGTCGACAGTGACCTTATCGCCTTCCAGCTCTGAATTTTTCCGTTCCACCGCTTCCCGGGTTCCATCTGATGAAAAAGCAGAGTCTGGGTAACCCTGTCCGGTGCGCCACTTGCGGCGGGCGGAGGAAGCAAGCAGCCGATTCAATGTGAATGATAGAGCAAGCTTCAACTTTATTGATAGAAATCACACCTTATATAAGCACTCTACAATACATAACGTGCAACTCTATTGGATACATTTAAGAAACTACATTATAATGTCTCAGCCATTGGGTACATTTAAAAAGTCACATTATAATATCCCAGCCCCTTGTGGCATCTCTGGTATGCATAAACATCTTTCTTGCTGTGAACCTGCTTCTCTCCCAGGGCTGCTTTCCTCTGACCCCCAAGGTCATAATGCGCCCCAACTTATCTCTGTGTTCTCACAACAATCCTCGCTAGCACAACTGAGCCCTGGATCTCCATCCTTGTTTGCATAACTGTACCCTGGGTTCTTTCCTTTGTTTACCTCAGGTGGCTGGGACTGACTTCTGCAGGGAGCTATGGCCGACCAGCTCCTGCAGGGTGCTATGGCCTTGCTCTCTGCAAGCCGTTCTCCAACAGACATTTGGTGAAAAAGTAACTCTGTTGGATCTCTTCCTGGGAGGGTTTAGTAAATTACATTTGAAATTCTTGTCTGATAAATTAAAATTAAATTTATTGTCATTTGATGTGGTTGAGGACTGAAGGTTCAGAATAGCCAGGTTGTAAGGCTTTGGAACAGCCTCTGAAGTGCTCTGGGAAAGGCACACAGGAGAACTGGCACACGTGAAAATTCAACAGTGAATGAAAGCATGAAAATGGCACTGTTGCCCTTAGCAGCAGGGACTACGTTCAATAACTGAGGATTTTTTGGAGCTTACCATTATAACCAAACCTTTGCCCCCTCCCTAAGAAACCCGTAAAATCCTGATGGCAGTTAAGGAGCTTAGGTTTCTGAAGGGCAAGACAGCATTCTGAGGAGTTAGTCTGCTTCTGAATTTTAAGCTAAAACTTGCTATACTCCACTGTATTCATGAATGTGTGGAGTCCGATGTTGAGTGAGGGGTGTATGATATAGTTTAAGCAGGGTGCTTTATTTTGGAGGGAAGAGACTTTGTAAGATATTTTGAAATGATTATGCAGAACAAGAATTACGGTGTAAGGTAACACTGTTGTGAAATCTGCACTGGTGTGAAATACTAGTAAATTTTCTTTCTCCTTTTTCTCTGTATTCTCCATCACCCATCCCAAACATGGAAGATATTTACCACTGTAAGTTTATCAAGGAAATATATAATTTGGCAGGGTAACAAACTGGCAACAATTCAGAACATGGTTACGCTTAAAATACTGGCAGCCATCTGTTCTAATTTCTAGTTAAGACTGGGTCCCAGCAGAGCAGGGAAATGCAAAGTAGGAATAACCTTTCTTCACTGAAAAGGTGGCTTGTAAAGCCTTGTGAATGATTCTGTAGAAAGTGCTTGCTAATAAACTTTTCATATACACGAGTTTGAATAGTGAAACTATTTGCTTGAAAATTTCTACTGTACAGAGTACAATGGTCACATATTTAAGATGCTATTTTTTATTCCAAATTTGGTACCGATTTTTTTGTGAGACTCGTAGAGGAATTCTGCATCAGCAATTTGCCCCTTGTATAAACTGAAATGGTGAAAAATCTGGAGTTTCCTTGCCGAATCGGGACCAAACGCTGTAGAAACACACGTATGCGTATTGAACAGCCGCTGTGAGGGTTATTGCTTGAATAAATGGCTTGAATAAACCTGGAAAACAGGTGGAGCGCCATCTCGCGGGGTTGGAAGCATCTGGCCAAGACCAGTTCTGGAGAACGCTTTGAATGTTTCCACGTTTCTAAAAATTGTTCGGAAATTCTGTAATGCTGTTGCGGTTGGGGGGCGGGGGCTGTAAGCAGAAAACAGGCCTCTAGTAAAATTTTAAAAATAAAATAAAAAATACATAAACGCACAGGCTGCTGTTGTCGCTGTCCCCGCGCTCCGAGCTCGGTTTCCGGGTGCCGGGAGCGGGACGTGGTGCTGCCGGGGCTCCAACCCGCCCCGGGGCGGGACCGGCAGCGCCCGGGACGGGCGGGCAGGTGGGCCTGGGTCTCCGGGAGGGGGGCCGGGGCCGGGACGGGACCGGGAGGCAGCGGGTCCGCGGGCGGTGGGAACGCGGGGGGGGTCACCGAGGCGCTTCCACCCGCGCCCGGCCCCCGCCGGAGGTTTCACCGGTTTGACGTTTTGCCGTGCGGCGGGAGCGATGTTTTTTGGCAGCCCGAACCTGTACTGGGAGCGGCCACGCACCGACAGCTTCGGCTTTTTCGCTTTAATGTTGTTCGGCTGCTTTAACGGTGGAGTTTTTCTGTTTTCTAGATAAAATACTTGTTTTGTGGAAGGCGAGTTCGCATTGCCAGTGAGCGAAGTGCCCTCATCAGAAAAAAAAAAAAAAAAAAAAAGATGGAGGAAGCAGAAGAGGATGACATGACATGTGGAGACCTGGGAAATGGACTTGGGAGGAGACCTGGAGGTCTTTATGAAGGGGAAAATGTACAAAATTACTGTTCGTTTAGATTTAGGAAGGGATCTGGGAAAGTTGGCAGTTCTCTCTTGTCAGCAAAAAAAGTGGAAGAAAACGATGCTGCAGCTTTTCCCCATACAAAACGAAACAGTTCGCACAATGGATCATCCAAAAAGCCTGTTACTAGTCTCACACAACAAAATAGCTCTGGTAAGAGTAATTTAGAAGTTAATTACTCACTATGAGAGAAATCTCTCTGTTAGGAAAACTGAGCAGTTGAGCTGCTTCACGAAGTATTGTCAAGTTCAATTCAGGCCATTTTCCAAAACACTGAAATCTCTGAAGGCGTCCCAGACCCGCGTGCTCAGCGCACCCCTGCTGGCACCCAGCGCACCCGCGCAGGTCAGTCGGTGCAGCCTGTCAGCCTGATGTCATCTGCCAAAAGGGGGCGCGCAGCGCCGCCCGGGCAGCAGAGCTTCCTCCCAAAACATGAACCGCCGAACTGCTGCTGTTCAGTGAAGGAGGCTGTGGCCCTTCTTAGCGTTAGATAAGGTTTTAGTTTAGTTTTGCAATTTGAAAGTGACATTTAGCGAAGAGCATGCAGGGGGAGAGGGGGGGAGGACAGCGTTGTTTTTCTCTGCATACATACATGAAATTGGATGGAATTGCTTGGATTCGTGGTTTTAAGTGTGTCCTCCTAGGGATTATATCTAAAGATTACGGCTGAATACTCAAAATCCTGTTTTCTATTTAGTCGAAACCTGTGAATTGACATACTTGTTGAGGTAGTTTTTAGAACCTGCACACCTCTGTTCTCCCAATGTTGGCTTTTTTTTTTTGTGAAAACAGCACTGCTGTAAGTAAAACCAAATCTAGGCTGTGCTGTTCACTACACTTTAGCTGCCTTCCCTCGCATTATTTTTTATGTATTTCCATATAACTCGCTTTTTTCTTTCTTTTAGAACAAGCTCCCACCATCCTCTCCACACCCCTCAGTAAGATAAGCCTTCTAATTATTGGTTTCAGCATCTTACAAGAGCAGCATAATTCCTATTGTTTTCACTGTCCTTCTGCTGGTCTCTGTGCGATTAGATTGTCTTAGATTTACATCTTTCTGGCAGCAATATTCATGAAAGCGTGACTGAAGTCCACGTGAAGCTGACTTTGATTTAGTAGGAGGCTGCATCTTAACATGTCTCTGCCTTAAGAAAAACGGTACCAGCAGTAACTGTTTGTTTAGAGGAATATTGGATCTTGTGGGATAACTCCTGCCCCTGTCCTTCATGTCTTGAAAACTGTCCCCACTTCTCAATAGTGCTAGCTACTGTCATGTTGAGTTTGGTTGTTGAAAAGTTACAGTGTGAAAATAATCTAAAAAATGAAATTATTTTTTGATCAAGATGGCAGTTTTGTTGTGGGTTTTTTTAAAAGGCAATTTTAAAGTAATTGCCCTTATTTTAGGTCTCTTTCCAGCTGACCTTTTTTCCTCATTTCACTTATTTAACTGTGAAGCAATGTGTGTGATCTTAGTATTTATGTATTTCTTAAATCTGTTTATTATCTCAAAAAGAAAAACACCACAAAGGTGAAAATTCACCTCTCTGTTACCTGTTTTGAGGGTAAAGCAAATTCTCATGTTTTCTTTTGTAAATTTTACAGCATCTCATTGTTTACTATCTCCTATCAATCCTACAGAATCTAATACTGAAGCATCAAATGAAGAACTAAAGCAACAACTTTGGGAAGCTCTAGAGGTTAGTAGCTGCCAGCTGTGCTGTTCTTGAAATCTGCATTTCCTTTGAATTTAGCAAAGTAAGGCACAGTGTTAGTTTAGCTGAAGATCTGGGCATGCCCCGTCTTGGATGGATCCAGGTTCTTGAAATTAGAGTCATAGTTGGAAGCCTCATTAAATTTTATGGCAGGAAATCAGTGTGAGGTGCAGTTTATACCCTGCATTATTTTGGGGGTGGGGGGCGCTGGGGCCAGAGAAGTAGTATTTTTAAAGATGCACAGAATGTTAAAAGGATTGCATCTTCTAGTAGGTTTTCTTCTATTAAGCTTTGGAGCTGGAAAATTAATGGAAATGGGTTTTTAATTTGCATTTTTGTTGAAATGTAGTTAACTCCTACTTTTTGGTTTTACTGTGGTTAAATATCTTGATATGTTGTCATCAGTCAAGGCAAAAGGAGCAGGGTGATCTCGGCTGTAAAAATAGACAATTTGCACTGTGTTCTTTAACCTTGCATGCAGAACATTAAGTGCACAGCACGTTAAAATGTCAAGGAACCTTACTCATTTTTCAGTTAGACATAACTGATAAATTGCTGCTGCTCTCAGGTACAATTTCAGTATCAATTGCTGAAGTAATAGAACTGGAAGAACAATGGGAAAAAAGTTTTGTATGATCATAAATGAACGACTGAGTGACCTACATAGAGGTTAAGGAAAATTAAATATACAAACCAGTAAATTTTCTTTTAACTCTTGGAAATTGAAAAATTGCTTTATTCTGAAGCGGGGGGAATGTTGCATGAAGACATGATCGGTAGGCACCTTGAGCAGGAATCTGTTGTTTTGTTGTTTTGCTCTGGACAAGTAGTGGTTTTGATCTAACAGTCTTAGCATGATATTTGTGCTATAGAGTACAGATATTTTTTATATTTATACTATGGCATATTAATGTAACATTTTTATTTTTGTGTATTCGTGTAATATTTACCACTGCTTATATAAGAAAACTCTATTCTGTTCTGCTTATTTATTTTAAAGCTTCAGACCTACACTGATATATACGTCTTTAGCAAGGCAGAACTGCAGTGGTTTATTTTCCAAATACACTGGAAAAGAACAGAAAGAATAATAATTGCAAGTATTCTTCTTTAAGGATTTTGTGCCAGCATGCACTGTTAACATTTCTTCATTACAAGTAAGCTGTTAGTCAGAAAAGAATCATAGAGGGTAAAAACAAGAGAAGATTTTTTTCTGAAGAGGGCAAATTTACACTGCTGTTACACTTAAGTTTTAACAGGATTACCTTGGTTTTTACTCAGTGTACCTATTTTATTTTGCTTCAGGAAGTTGAAAATTTGAAAGTTGAGCTGGAAGCGTCTCAAAGACAGCTTGAAGGAAAAGATGAAGCCCTAAGAATTCTGCAGAGCATGGTACGAGTTGTTCAGAAATCATTTAGGTACTTGACAGTAAAGGAAGGAAGACAGAAAAAATCTTCCTGCCACTCCTCATCAAAACCTCCCAAAAGTTCTTCCCAGGGCTATAATTTAAAGCATTGAGTCTGCAAGTGTCTACAGACTTGGCTTCTATGATTCACTGTTTTTTCTGCAGGGAACTATTGTGGTTATTTAAGCAGAATTTACTGCTGTAGCAAGTTCTCATAATTTTATCTTTGAGTATTCTTAAGGATTTATCTATTTAACTTAAAGAATATGGCCTTCTTTCCACTCCTTTAAATTATAGATTCTGCCAGTCCTTGAAATTCTGCTGCAAAGCACAGATGTTTTCCGTTGACTAAGCCATCTGTCCTCTTAGAGGACAGTATGCATTAAATGTTAGGTCAGTCTTTTGGTACAGTTTGTAATATTTTTATCTGCTAACACAGTGAATTATGTTGAAATCAGTTTCTGGTTTTTAGCCTACTTGCATAATCGTAGTTCTGCAGTTTCTACCCTCAGACATTCATAGTAAGTTACACCTGGATCAAAGTTTAAGTATGTTGTAACCAGTTTTTTTAAGAGCTCATTTTGTGGACAAGCCCTAAAGAAAACATGATCTCATTTTAAATGATGCTACGTTTTTCAATAGAAAAGATTATGGGATTGAAACACAAGTTTCTTTTGCAACACATCTATTTAGTTGCTAGACATAAGAATCCACTGGAACTTACAAGCAAGTTGCTAGTGTTTGTAATTCTGCACACCCCTGTTTTAAGACTTCTTTTGATGTAAAAGTGAAAATTTGGCTAAAGCAAAAGTAAGTAATGTTAATTACAGTATTTGACAGAGTTGTCCTTTTTTTTTTTTTTTTAGGAAGTATTTAATAAAGCCACTAGTCATACAAAAGCAATGCTTCAAAAAACTGAGGAAGAAAAGAGAACTTTAGAAAAGGTAAGTGCATGTTTCCTTCACACCTGTGCAAAAACTCAGAGAAGTCCATTGCTATTAATAAGGGGTTATCAGGCTGTTTATTTAAATCAGTACAAATCTGCCGCTAGTTCCAGGTTTTTTGGAAAGTACTTTTACTCCTTTTTAGTAGAAAGGGAAAATGTTAATGTATTACTCTTTTGATCTAGGTGTTTTGAAAGTTACTGGAATTCTTTCTGTACTTTCACTTGGTCTTTGTTGTGAGTTTCAATGTCATTCATAGAAAGTTGCACTTTCTTAATTATTAAGATGGAACTTCCAGATAAATCTAAGAAATGGGGGCCCAATTTTCATAGGGAAGATGGGGAGAAGCAGGAAGGTGGCACTGAGCTACCTTGTTAAACTGAGTTTTATGCCTTCTCTTCCTATGTGACCTTTCCACAGAACAATAAGGGGACAGGGAAATGTGACGGTGTGGATTTGTTTTTGTCATAAGCCCCTACAAGAATTAGTTCGTGCAACACAGTCTGGAATCTGTAGATTGGTGATACAGAAACCTTTTGGTGTCTGGCACCAAATGTATTTTTAATAGTATCATAGATTGTCGTTATTGTTGGTCACCTAGATCTCTGCCATTGCCAAGCTCAGCACCAGCAGTTCTGCTTCTTCCGTTCCAAGGGAGGCTTGTAATTAGGTGCTGCAGGTTTGTTTTGTTTCCACAGGAAATAAACATCTTGCAATGGGAAATCGAATTTGATCAGGATAGATTTAAAAACATAGAAGACACATGGACAGAAAAATATGACAGGTATTTGACTTACGCTGTGTATCATTGGGATTCTTTTTCATTGCATCGGATGCTATATGTCATCTTTCTTGTGTTCCAAGTTTGCTTCAGCCAGTTTTCTGGGGGTTTTGTGTCTTCCTAATTTCCTTCCAGATTTGGGAAGATTTATTTAATTTTCATGCTAGTCACATTTGTATTTTTCAATTAAAGCTACTAAAATTATTAAGTCACAATTATTTAGTGTGTATATAGGCTAAATTTGCTAGGCTGAGTTTTCCTTGTTATGTTAGCCAACTGGAGCCAGAGTGTCCTTATTTATTTTAAATGTAAATGAGGCATAGAAAATAATGGTATGTGCACACATGTGGAAATATCATTTGCTGGTTAATCATTGCTTTATTTTCTTGCATTGTAGGTATAAGCATACATACAGGTAAAATGGAATGCTTTGGAGAGAAGCTCATCAGCTGGTTCTTTGTTTAAATAAGAGTTACTATGGATGGACAGCAGATGTGGTTAGGCGAGCAGAAGATTCCAGAGGCACTAAACTAATAATGCAGTAACAGACCATGAAAAATGTGACCAGTAGACTCATTTATTTAAATGTAGGAATGGTATCTCTGAAGTTTGCCCATCAGAGTTATACAATTATTTCAGCAGGATTTTTTATTTAAAATTTTCAAACTTTAAATCAAAGAATAACCCAGAAGTTTACTTTTTATTTGTAAGAAGAGGTTTGTAAAGATATTGTGTCTTGTTCACCTGTTAACTTAGTTGCACTTGTCAAGGAATACCTCTTGACAATCCCTTTGGCTTTCCTGACTTAGATTGGAAACGTAGCCAGGTAGTTTGGAGCAACAAAACTATTGTTAACTATTGAAAGCTAGAAATGTGGTTTCAGAAAACTGCAAGGCAGGAGCTCAGTCTGCTGTGCAAAAAGGTTTTCTGATATCTGTGATCACAGCAGGATGAGAAAAATGTGTTTATTCAAGTGAAATAATTCAGGGTACTATTTAGTTTTAAACAAACCCATGAATTTATAGTATGCTGCATTTACTGACAGCTGAAGAGATGCACCAACTAAATAGTACTGCTTTAACATTTAGGACTTTAGATTGCCACTTGTCTGTTCAAGAAGGAAATACTTAAATACTTCAAGGACAAATGCATTATAAATGCATATTGTATGGTCTTAGGTCACAGTGCTTGAAAGTACAGCTGTTCTAGAGAACAGTATTAAGACTACAGGAAGTTTACTTTCTACAATTCAGACCAGAGTCATGTTGTCACATGTCCAATAACAATTTTGTTCTTTCAAGGAAGTAAGAGATTTCTAGCAAGTGTTTCAGAGGTTCATAATTACAACTTTGAGTTTCTAATGGTAATGTAGTACTTAAACTCACATCTTGTTAAACTTTGAAATTGTTTGCACTGTCTACTTAGATGTGAATAATTTTTTTTTTAATTGTATTTTTTTAACATTCAGTTGAACATACTTGGACGTGTTAAAATTGGTTGTGTGAGGGTGTGGTTTAATAGACAAGGTGAGCCTGTTTGAACAGTGCATGCTATCTGGGTTGCAGAGAAACCTCTGTACCAGTGCAGAGATTCCTGGGTTTGCTCCCCGCAGAGCCACCTGCAGCCTGGATAATGAAGAGTGACTCCACAGAAGCCAGCCTCGTGTAGCCTGCTTTCTTAGCCTCGGTTCAGTGCCAGTCAGACCAAGTCTACACATAAAACTTTCTTCAGAGAGTTAATTAGGAGCACTTTCAGGTTGCTTGGCCCCTGGCTAGCAGATTCGGATCTAACAATATACTACATATTATTGGCACAGGTATTGTTACGGAAGAATTTAACAATCCTTTCCATAAAAAATTTTACAAGTGAGGAAACTGCTTGTATAATGCTGCATGGATAATATCTTGTCAAACAATATCTCTTTAAAGGTTTGATTCTTCAATCCTTTCAGTAATCCTAATTTTAATTTGCAGAAATATTAGATACAATGTTTTAACAGGCTAATCTTTTTTAAAAATTGACTGCCCGTTTTAAAATATTTTTTTAAAAGATAACACAGCCTTTTTCAAACTTCTGCAGGATATATTGTGAAAATGCAGCTCTTAAGGAAGCACTGAAACTGAGAACAGAAGAAATTAAAACTCTTAAGGCTGAAAATGCAAGTAAGTCATCAACAGCTATTCCTCTTCATGTAGTGTTTCTTGGGAATAATTCAGCACTTAACTAAAAGGGAAGCTTTCTGTTGGCATACTTGTTACTGACAGCTGATATTAGTGGATATGCAGAAACCCTCTTTAACCAGACAAGTGTTTGTTTTCCTTCTCACATTGTCTCTTGAACTGAAAAAACCCCATTAAATGATAGGAAGAGTCAAGTATGCATAGCTGAAAGACTAGATTAGGTGTGAAAGAAGTACACCTGTCTTATCTCAGTGGTGTGGTGACACCCTTGGTGTGGAAGGACACAACTGGTCCAGGTTCCTGGTCATGTCCTGGAGAGAGGCAACAGCAGCCAGGGGAGCCAGCATGTAGTCCTGCTACTGTGACAGTCTGCACCAGAGACATTCACTTATACCCACATAAAGATTGCTGTAGCACAAACTTTGAAGTATTCATCTTGATGGCTTTATAGTGGAGCTTTTCAAACTGCCGGTTGTGCAGGCGTCTGGCTGTGTCAGATGGCTCAAGCCCCTTTCCCTTGTTTTTGGCTTCCAAAAAGCTTTAAAATAGCTGATGTACATCATTGTTTTACCAATACTGTGCTATTCTAAAAGTGCAGCTGCCTTAGTTTTCAGTGTACAAAGAGATGAGCCCTTAGTACTGAGGCAGAGCAATATATGAGATGGTATCTCTGTAAGTGGGTCATTACTTCTAGAAAAACAGAGAAGACAACTGGGATCTGAGTTTCTAGATCTACATAGTCTCATTACATTCCGAAACTCGTGCTTAAATTACAGAACCAATTAATCTGTAGTTAAACACAGAAATTAAGAAATCAGAGCACCAGACCTTTTAAACACTTAACTTGTTTTATTTCATAGTCCTGAATCAGCAGTGCTTGGAATTTCTTGCAATGCTAGATGTGAAACAACAGAAGGTTGTTCAGGAAAACATGTCCTTGAATAAAAGTAACATTACAGATTTTACTGGTCTTGAAGTAAGTATGATTTAACATGTTTTTCAGAATGGCTGTTTCAAAGCTGTATTTATATTCAAAATATACAGATAAATTTTGCTTACTGATTATTTAAGTTTCTTTGTACCCATTTTTAGCTAATGATGATATGTCCTTGCATGCCTGTTTTCTAATCTGTGGTGCATCATGATTCCTATCTTGCAAAGAAAGAGTAGACAGAAGGAACATCAGGCTATCTTTCACAAGGCAGCATGTTTATTTTTGTCTTCCTAATATCTTAATTCTTAGGTCCTATGCCTACTGCTTTACTTTATTGAGTGAAAAAAAAATCTAATGAGTCTGCAGAGAGTAGCATACACAGGCTGACAAATTTTGCCTTAGGTTATCTGGCAGAAAAACACATTTCACTTGTGTGGTTGAGAGTCAAAACCAAACCATGCCCAAATCTCTTGTAGCTTGCTTCCCCTGACCTTTACACTCCTTTGTAATTTCAGGATATTTTGCTAGTCATGTGGCATCTTTTGGATTGTGTTGTGTATGCAGATAGGTATTTATCTGGTGGAGTTTTTTTGATTTTAAGCTGGCAGTTCTTGGAGCCTGCACCTGCAGTACTTCTGGAGGGCAACCTTGTCCCTGTGCTAAAATGGCAGCTGTGACTCGAAAGCAACTTCTTCATCTCAAGCAAGAGGTAACACTGCTTGTTTTAGATGTGAATAAGCAGAGGGGTGCTTGTGCTCAAGATCGAATAAAGCCAGAAACATTCTACTGCAGTTTACACAAACTAATGTGTCTTTAAAACAAGAATGCTTCTCAGAAATAATGTAATGTTTGTTTGTAATGCTTGTAATGGCCTAACATTTGCTGATAGAAAACTGTAATTATGATATCAGTAAGCTTTACTAATAATAAAAAAATATATATAATTCTTTTTCCTTCCCATATTTTTTAATCTAAGAAAGGGAAAAACACTCTAGTGTATGCACTCTAAAAATGTATACATGCTGTGAGTGTGGCCTACCACTGACCCTTTCCCTTCCTTCCTGGCAGTGTATTCCACCTCTACCTTGTGCTGACATCAGTACTCACAAGCCTGATCACCCAGCTAGGTCAGGAAGCTGATCTTGCAGAAAACTGTATTTACATCAGACTTAAATCGATAACGTGATCTTCAAGCTCTTACGGTTTTAATGTAATTAAGTTCTGTAGTTTTAGAATTTTTATTCTAACTTGTATTTGACTCTGCAAATGTGGTAACCATCCTTCCTCATGGTCCCACTGCAGAAGTTCCACTTGACTTACTGATTTTGAAAATAAGTATAGTCATGTCCTTTTTGTACTAAAGTTACTATCCCTGACAAAGATACCATTCTTTGGTTCCTTTTGTTTCTGGACCAACCAGCATTATGTCCTCCTCAAGCTCTTCTGCATGTGCAGAAACAAACAGGCAGTGCTGGCAGCTCGTCTGTGGTGTAGGTGGGTGTTGGTATGTGCATGTATAGAGGAGGAAGGTTAAGGACTTCAATACACATTTCAAAATGTATTTCTTAACATGGCAAGACAGCACTTCTTTTGGTTTCTACTACTTTCCTGATAATACTTACTTAAAAGTTCTCTGTGTTAACAGCTTCCGTCTGCCTCTCAATATACATTTTAAATCCACTGCAGCTTCCAAATGGCTTAATATACTCTAAATTTTGTCTCAATTAAAACCAGATGGAAAATCTGAAGAAGAGTAAAGATGAAGCTTATATAATGGCAGATGCCTTCAGAATTGCATTTGAGCAGCAGCTAATGCAGAGGAAGGACCAAGCCCTGAGGCTTGCAGAAGTGATAAAGATTAAGAAGGAAACAAAATTTATAAACTGGAGACGTCTGAAGAATGATGGTAACTGGACATGCTATACATCTGTAATGGTTGAATAGAAAGTTAGCTGACAAGTGTCACAGGCAGACTTTCTTGTTGTATTCAATGTATGGTTGTGGTTTAATTGCTGACTGAGACTTCTGAAGAGTCAAGAAAAAAGGAACAAAGTTATGTCAAAACTGCAAGTACGTTAAATGGTGTCATTAAGTCGAAGAATTTCTACTGTAAGTTTCACATGTGTAGGGCAGGGTGTCTGTGTATAAGTGGAATATATAAATACTACTGTAGGATGTTGGAGCTACCAGTCTAGGCTTTTAATGTAGCCTGTTTTTTTATTACACATTCATGAACTGTGTTACCTGAGTAAAAACATGCCCAACTAAATAAACTGTTATCCAGGGTGACAATAACATTCTGGCTACTAAGGATATATATTATGAAACCAGCACAGAAAAGCTAACATCTGGCAAGGTTAGCCTAGCCATTATCAGCAATTTAATGTACAGGGTTTTTTTTTCAAATGATCTCTATATAAATAGAGTTAGGGAAGGAGAAGAAATGCAAAAATATATATACTGAGCTTTCACTGAAATACTGAATACAGTAGTTTTTTTATTATGTATGTGTATCTATATCAGTATTTATTAGTCTTCTTCACATGATCATCTGCGAGTTAAGTATTTTTATTATACTTTTAAAGAAAAATAATAATGAGAGGTATTTAAATGCTTATGTCATAGTCAAAACCATAGCAGAATTTAGGAATGGCACTTCAAGGTATAACTGTGTTAGCCATTGTCCTGGAAGTGCCAGGATTAGAAGTTTGGTGGGTCTGCCAGATTCCTTGAGTCCACTCAGGAAAAGAGCATACATCCTGAATATCTCTTTCCCCTATACTGACATCATTGTTTCCAAGCTCTGTATACTCATACGTAAGTTTCATAATTGTGTTTAGAAATCTTAGAAACTGTTTAATCTTAGAAATCTGTTTAGATTTCTAAGATTTCTAAACTATATCTGTTTAGAAATCTTAGAAACTTTTAAACCACTTATGTCAAAGTATCTCTTTTTTCATGCTACATACTGTTTAAAAACCAAATACCCCAAATTATGGTTTCACTAGAGTGTCAAAGTGTATTTTCCATACAGAAAAAATAACTTTATTTTGGATTTGCCCATATATATAATGAAAGATATATTGAGGCTTTAAGTGAGAGTAAGGGTGGAGCTGCATGCTGTGTTATGTACAATAGGAGAAGCTGTAGCTTGCCGTGCCTTTTTAGAGGAGATGGCTCAGGATCCAGTATTATTCCAAAGTAGTTTTTCTTCTCCCAAGCAATTCCAGTTCTTGCACTTCTGTTTTTCTTAGGACGTGTCAAGTTACAAGGGAACAAGAACAGTCTGGGTCAAAAACTGTCTGGCCTGCTGTCATCAGATGTGGACTGCAGGAAGGTTGAAGAACTAGACAATCCTCAAGAAATTCTGAAGATGTTAATAGATTTGGTTAGTATTTTGTTAAGCTATTTATTGTGACTCCTTAGAGGAACAAATCTAAGTGTCGATTTACATACACTGCCTTGTTCTTAGCTTATCAACTTTCTCTTTTAAACACTCAGGTAAATGACAAAGAGGAGGCTCTGGCTCATCAAAGAAAAGTTAGTTACATGCTAGCTCGAGCCATAGAGATGAAAGAGGATGTTTTAGAACAGGAGAGAAGAAATGGCACTCTGGGGTGTCGTGAGTACGAAACCCAGGGGTCATCGAGCCCTGTAGACGCCTGCTGCCAAAAGCCCTGTTCTCAGAACAGTATTTCTTCAGTTCCAAGTGCAAAAACATTTGAAAATCCTGTAAAAACGCTTCGAAAATCACACTCCTGGCCGTCTGAGACTACATGCTATGAAGAAACGAGTCCACATGGAAAGGCAGACGAAACTGTAGTGATCTCTATATAACCATGCGCTGAAATACATTTATTAAAAAAAATTTTAAAAAAGATCTCGTGGAAATGCCTAAAAGCGTCCTGTGATTACATCTCTGGGGTCCAGATTAGGGCAAGTGCCTTAGCTGACACCGTCCGTGATGGCAGAATCATCCTCGTGCGGTCGGTATCGATTCCTTTGCGAAAGGAGAGCCAGATTTCATCGATTTAACAGCAGTCTCCACCCAGGATGGGACAGCTGTCAGTCGCCTGAGCCCCCGCTGTCGCCGGCGCCTTCTCTGACTCCACATGACCTGGGTGACGGGGCTGGCGGGGTGAGGAGG